TAGGGCTGGCTCAGGCTTGCCCTGTACCAGCCCCTAGTTAGGCTGACTTAGGCCTAGTCTGCCGGAGGACCCCCTATAATACACCGGGCTCTCTCTCTCTCTCTCTCTCTCTCTCTCTCTCTCTCTCTCTCTCTCTCACTCTCATCCTATTACTGCATCTTGCTAACTCGGCCATTCTGGATGTCACTAACTCGGCTTCTTCTCCGGAGCCTTTGTGCTCCACTGTCTCTCAGAATAACTCATACCGCAGCGGTGCCTGGACAGTGTGACGTGTGTGGTTGTGCTGCTGCCGTGGTCCTGCCAGATGCCTCCTGCTGCTGCTGCCATCATTAGTCATTAGTCATACTTCTACTGTTATTATACACATATGACTATTGTCACACAAGTATACTGTCAGATATTAATACATACTTTCAACATATTGTACCACAGTAGCCAGAACTATAACTATAATATTATTACTTTCATTAATGTTGTTGTAAGCTACTGTCATTACCTGCATCTCTCTCTCTCTCTCTCTCTCTCTCTCTCTCTCTCTCTCTCTGTCTCATTGTGTCATATGGATTACTGTTAATTTATTATGCTGATCTGTTCTGTACGACATCTATTGCACGTCTGTCCGTCCTGGAAGAGGGATCCCTCCTCAGTTGCTCTTCCTGAGGTTTCTACCGTTTTTTTTCCCCGTTAAAGGGTTTTTTTTTTTGGGGAGTTTTTCCTTATCCGCTGTGAGGGTCTTAAGGACAGAGGGATGTTGTATGCTGTAAAGCCCTGTGAGGCAAATTGTGATTTGTGATATTGGGCTTTATAAATAAAATTGAATTGAATTGAAAATTGAATCATTCCTAATAGTTCTGAATGAGCATTCATTAAGATGTTTTACCAGTGCTGGCCCTATAGCACAATTGGTGGCCTCGGTGTGTCTCCTTCTGACACTGCTATTTTATTATTTACTATTCACTATTACTGTATTATTTTACAAAAAAAAAACCTGCTGAGAGTTTGAACTTTGAAAACAGGCATATTTCTCTCATAAGAGTCCACTCTCCACCGAACACATTGTTGGAGGGCCATCTCTCCCTATGGGCCCCCCAACCTCATATTCCCCAGCGCAACTGCACTGCCTGCACTGTCTATATTTACACACCTGGTGACAGCTTTTCCTGTGACTTACAGAGAATTCAGATCTGTGGTTGAGGCCATCCCCACAGGTTTATGCCACTTAATAAAAACAAAAAAAAAAAAAAAACCACACGTCCTACTGTTTTTCAATATTAGTAAATATAATAGGTTCATAAAAATATTCCGATGCTAACGTATGAACAGAGTTTGAGAATAATAATGTAATTATTTGGACAGAATATTTTGTACATGAATGTCTTGTTTTAAAAACTATTTCCATATTTGCTGAACATCTGAATGAGATAGAAAAGGCAAGTAAAGTAAAATGTTGTAAAACTCAAACAGCTCTATATCTTTATAGATATCTACAGTAATCCCTAATCGACCACTTGTTGTTTATTTCATTATTAGCTACTTATTTTTTCTTGTTTACTTTTTGTTATTTTTGTTGGTATTGGTTGCTCAGTGCTGCTGCTGCTGCTGCTGCTGCTGCTGTGAACTGTATTCACTTAAATGTGACATGTGTTTTTGATTGTGCAGTTCAAAAAAAGTTGTATTGCCTTCCCTGTTCTCCACTGGAGTAAGTCCTTTTTTAGCTACTTTATATCCGCCTGACATCAACCTTTTTTTGCCCTCTCAACGTACATTACGTTGCTGATGCAAATGCAAAGCTAAAGTTGCTGTAAAATGAAAGGTAGCTTATGTGGTTCTGGCCTGCTGTGCTTATTTCTTACTACCCTAAATAACCAATTTACTCCATCCTCATTTTTCTTTGCAGTTGTTCATTAAGGCACCAAGAAGCTGGATTTGTTGCATGGACATAAACAGCCAACAGATGCACTGAACATGAAGGTGGGTAATGTTGAGATACAAAAATGCTAACTACAGCTATAGCTAACCTTCAAATTAACTTCAATCCTTGCTATAATGATGCCACATGGATTTAAATTTTATAAGGTAACATTTATTTGGACCTGGTGGTGCCAAGTGAATAATAACATTGTTACAAATGACAAAGAAAGTAGAAAATCGTATTTCCTGTCTACGTAGACGCAAATTTCAAGATCCTCTGCAGGACAACTACTGAATATAGATTAACACTACCCAAGTAATACAGTAAGCACTGTACATAAAAGCAGAAATCTCACAAACGACAAATCTACATTTGATTTATTGAAGTGGGATCTTGTTTATTTGGCTCCCTTCATTGAGCTGTCTTCATCTATTCCCTGTACATCACAGCAGCGGGATGTGGTTGCTTGTCTTCCCCATGTACCTTTGCCATGTTGTTGTAATATGTAACTCAGTCCATGTGGTGGCAATGTTGCATGCTTTTGGACTTTGTAAGAGCTCAATACCTAGTGATTTTCATTTACCTACAGGCAGGTGCACATGACGAAATCAATAACTCTTTTATACGGGGCCAAGGAGTTTTTAGGAAATTCTGTCCGATGAGATCACCATGCAGTGATAATGTAACTTTGCCAACCCAGAATCTGATTTTCTTTTCAGTAAAATTGGACAAAAACTTAAACCACCCACACAATCCTTTAATATTCATTTGCATTAAAGCAACCTCAATGAGATTATCCATCTCGAATGTCTTCATCTCTGCCGGTAGGCTGAAAGATTAATGAACTCCAACTTAATCCAGAGAGTTCAAACTATAGTTTATCTTTCCACATGACACTTGTTTCGACATCTCCACTGAGCACACGTGTTTCATTATGACTGATTGGAGAAAGAAAGTGCAGATTGACATGAGAAATGAATGCGTGTGTGGGCTACAAACAGAGTAGGATTGTTTTCTATTCTGGTTGTCGATGCAGCACGCTGGTGTGTATTGATCAGGTTGTGAGAGCGTTCTGTTCTCTGAATCACCGTGTTTCCATCTCTCCCTCCATCCATGGTCGGAGCTTCATCATCAACATGGTGTTATTACTGGGTGATACGGCTCCCTTCATTTCCTGTCTCAGCAACAGCAACAGCAGTGAATGCAACAACATAGAGGGGGAAAGGTTTTTTATTTGTGTGTGCATGGTTGGGTAGAGGGTGACTGTCCATGAGACGGCACAATATCTCCTTTCTGCACAAAGAAATGCAATAAATGAACAAGTATTTGACAGGCAGCTGGTGTAATGAAGAATGCCAGTGATGTAAGGGTAGATTTGTATTTCTGCCACCTTTCAATAAATTCTTTTTTTTACCCACGTAATTCTGCCAAATAGCCTTTTTCGTATTTCAGGGGGAGAGCAATTTTCTGTCTCAGATATTCATTTTCTCTCTTCTTGACTCTTAATTATCTTCACTTTTTAGCTTTCTTCAAGAATTACCTGGTTTAAATTCTCTAACCTTTGCTACAACAGTTGAACCTATTTTACACCAGAGCTGTGCGGCACGGTCAGTGAAGTGTGAGTTGCCATAACACCAGCTTGTTTTATGAGAAAGCTGTCCAGCCAATGGGGCTAATGAGTGGGGCTGCTCAACAAGAGCTTGTTTATTTTTCCAGAAGAGAGACAGAGAAAGGGGCTGAGAGGAGAGAGAAAATGGACAGGTTGTTGTAATGGAAGAAGATTGCTGGAGAGAACAAAAGAGAAGCAGAGGGTACCAGGGGGATGGATGGCTTGGTTGACTGTAATCACTGTGCTGTATCGCAGGTGCACGATCCCAATGATAACACACAAATGTGGATCGATTGTGACACTATTCGCCACACATGAGCTCACACTTGCATGCCTGTCTTTTTACCTGCTTTCACCGTGAAAGGGAACTGTCATGGCTTGGCAGATTTATTTCGAGGGTAATTCGTGTTCGACTTTGGTCGGATTTTCCACCCGCACATCAGTTCAGGTCATGACAGGATACCTCTAAAACTCATCAAGACATTCACATGTGCAGGGTGTAACAACAAGTGCGCGGGAGCAGCAATGTCCTTTCAGGTTGTTTCTTTATTCAATCTGGAACCATGAAAAAAAATCCACGGTATACACTGAGTTGTGAATTAAACCAGATCTTGCAATTCTTAGATCCTTGGTTCCAGACCAACAGATTTGTTTCAGTAAGACATGTTAAATGGGTTTGCTGTTTTGCTCAATGACAGAAGTTTCTGTTGGTGTGGGGAAACAGTTGACCAATTAGAGTTTAATAGGTGGGATTAAGCAGCCAACAGCAGCGTGAGACTCTGATTACACAAACAAAATTGTAGGGTTGATACCATCTGATTGGTTGGTCAGTATGCCCTTGTCAGAACAAATTCTCATTGGTCAGACAATTGCGGGTGTTACTTTCACAAGGGCACAGTCACACGAGTCTCACTCCGAAGTCGTCAAAATCCGGTGCTTAAGCAGACGCCGACGAAAACACCTGTAATGTTAGCATGACACGCGGTTGGCAGCGTCAGGGGGAAACGCGGCAGGCCAAGAACGAAAGTGAAGGCGGCGAAACTCCGGGTAGAGTGGTTGGGAGGGGTGGTGGATATGTCCAACTTTCACCTAAGTTGTGTTGTGAGAGTTGTGCTCATGTCCTATAAGATTATAAAGCCAAACCCTGTTCTTTTTTCCTAAACCCAACCATGTGCATTAGTTGTAAAAAAAAAAAAAGTCAAATCGTTGTGTTATACTTATGTAGCCGGAGGTTGTCTCCCTCCTTGCCACTATTCGGCACTGTGTTTGCTTTCCAACCACCGTGATTGCGGGGCGGGGCCATGCGCACCGTTATATTCAGGCGTGAGGCCACGCCCCGTCCTCTCTTCCGCTCCTCGCTTGCTCCCGTGGTGGCTGTGGCGTGTCAGCGTTGTTTGGCATGCAGCGTTTGTTTGGTGCAGCCGTCCCGTGTTTGTGACCGCCGTCGAGGCACACAAATCTTCTCTACCCCGGTAAGCATCTGCGGTCTTCTCCTTTTGCTCTGTATGTGCGTAATGCGCAGTTTGGTCCCACACTCTCCACTCCTTGCAGCGCAGCTGACTGCTTGGTCCAGGGGAGGCGGGAGTGGCTCGCTGGAGCCTCGCTGTGTTCAGCTACTGGTCCGCTCTGGTATGTTGTCCGCACGTTGTCTGCCTGTTCATTTTCAACTGTTGCTTGGCTCCCTACTGATCACTCTCTTGTGCGTAATTCTCAGGCCGTGTGTGTTTAAAGCTGCGTCCTGTGAGGCTCGCATTCACTGGTTGTTTATGTTCGCTGTGCATGCCTGGCACCCCTGGTATGTATTAATTTGGTTTCTTAAGTTAGTTTCAATTCATTTAATTAATTTACTAAATATTAGGTTTTGTTTCTGTTTCTTTTTTTTAGTGGCCTGTAACTCTGGCCATCACTGACCATCACTCCTGGAGCTGCGTTGCTGTTTTGGTTTTCATGTTCTAATTCTGTTTTGGTTATTCTGTTTTGGCTTTTCTGGTTTTGGTTCTTTTCTTTCTTTTCTTTTCTCTTCATTTTGGTGTTTGGTTTCCTGTTTAAAATTTGTTTGTTTTTTTTGTATTGGTTTGCTGTGAGGCGGACTACGCTTTGGCCCGACGCGGCTGGTTGCCGCTTGGACCTACTGACTGAGGTCCCATTGATTTAAGGGCTGTGCTGGGGCCTACATGATTGCCCCTGCCACCACCCATGATCTCTTTATTTTAAACCTGGTGTTAATTTGTTTCATTCGTGTTTCTTTGGTGGTTCTTTTCAATTAACTCAGTAATTTTCTCTTTATCTTTTTGGGTTATTAATTGTGATAAATTGATTTAATTATTCATATTTTCTTGTATTGGATTTCAGTTGGGTTAAATTAGGTTCATTAAATTACGGTTCTTTCGTAATTTTTATTAGTTAGTCCACACCAATTTTTGTTTAGTCCTTGGGCATGTTTTATTAATCCTTGTTTTCTTTTTTTTTTGTTCAGGTGCTGGTGGCTGACGGCGGCAGTTTGACCCCTGGTGGTGGTGCATTCTTCACAAACCCCCTCCCTTTTTTGTTGTGTGTGTGTGCAGTGTCACGGGTGGTTTATTTTGAGGATCCCTTCTCCCTTTTTGGTTTCTGCCGCATGGTAAGCCTCAGCCCTGACCTTATTCCCCTCCCCTGTCCAAGTGCCTATTTTATATTATGTGTGGTGTGTGACATATTGCTTCTTTTCTTTTGTATAATTTAGTTTAATAAAGTTTGTTTGTTTTTAAAATTACAAACCGTCTCGCCCCAGTGTTTTACGAATCTGTGTGACCTGATCTAGTTAAAATCTTAGTCTAGTATTTCCTGGGGTGCAATTCCCCAGGTGGCGTTGTCGGACACCTGGATCTTGATACTGATATTTAAACACCCCCCCCCCCCCAACTCGCCACACTTACGTAGTGTTTATTTTGGAAGAGAGAGTATGTGAAAGGTACATTTCCTAAGAAACGTAAGTGTATTTTGATAGAAGACAATGCACGTAACAGGCAGAACTTGACACAGTGTCCCAGAATGTCAGTGATGCTATTGGTTGTGACTTTGCCTTTCAGAGTTCACCAAAGTTGAACTCGATGTTTTGTGAAGATGTAAATTTGCTTTGTGACTGGAAGCAAATAACGTTTTATGTGTCCCTTCGCTTGCACAGGATAGAAGTGTACCAGAGATGAATATTTATCAGTGTTAAATTTACTTATGCGTGACTGTGCCTTAAGGCCGCGTGTCCACCAAAGGGGTTTTATTCCCAGCTGGGACCACTTAAGTGCTTTGGAAGGGCAGTGTTTTTTCAGCTGAGATGCTTTGGGTGCGTGTGATGCTATGATACGGAATATCCACTGAATAAATAAATGTAAAAATGTTGGCATGAAGTAGAGTACTTGCTTTGGCCCTCACTCTGGATACAAAAGGTCAGTTTATGTGACCAGCAGTATTCATTTCTCCTCCACTGTTGTTGTTTTTCATCACTCGTACATGTACGTGACAGTTGGTTTTTGTGGTATTTGTCTTGCCCCTCCTCAACTATAATTGGACAGCTGGGTTAAAAGTGGTGAGCACAGCCTTTTACCAAAAGAATTTAAGAAATGTGCCACAGGAAGTAAATGCTTTGGTGGACACCCAATCCTGCCAGGTAGAGTACACTGTGGCCGAGTTAGTTAATCTAGAGCAGTGGTTCCAAACTGGTGGGTCACACGTCCATTCTGAATGGACTGCAAGTGACTCACAGTTTTGCCAAGTCTGTAAAAATACACGCTTTATTTTTGTGTACAGTAAATTTCCAGCACAGAGCTTCTATTCTGAAGTGCCGTTTCCTGCTGTGGAGTGAGTGACTAATGGACAGCTACTTCACAGAGACGGCAAACTAGCTTGATGACATGTATTGACATCTGTTTTGATGTAGTCCTTGCAAACTGGTGCTTAAAGTGAAATTTTCTTCTATGCTTGTCGTCCTGTGAAATAAAAACAAATTTTGTAAATGTTATAACAGTAACAGTCTGCATTTTGCTTTATACATAATTCAGTCAGTATGTTTACATGACACTTGAAAAAAACAAATTATTGCCTTAATCCGACTATAACTGGACAACTGAAGTGCATGTAAACGCGTTACTCCAACTAATATCGGAGTTCTCCAACTCCGATTAAGTCACCCAGATAATGCGATTGGAATTCGATTTTCTCTGGCATGTATACGCCTTAATCAGAGTTAAACTAGACAATGCATGTGCACATGCTCCACACCCCCCGCGCTGGTGTATGACCCCGGAACAGACAAGACATACTATTGTTGTAGCCCTCCAACAGCATACGGCGTTCTTGTCTGCCTCTCGAAATCACCATGACCACGAGGGATAGCGTGCACCTTATCTGCACAATCAGTAACGCGTACATTACGTACGAGATGAACAAAGCTGTACGATATCTATACGATATACGCATATCGCCACCTAGTGTTGAGGAGGAGGACACATTCCCGTCAGTAATTCGATTTTCTCAGTTGCATGTAAACTGGGACAAGGACAGAAGTCCGATTAGACGCCAAAATCGAATTTTGAGCATAGCTCGATTAAGCTGTGCATGTAAACGTACTGAGTGTCCGTAAATCAGCTAAGTCTTTAAGTTTCAATAGTCCTGACTTGATCAACAGTCTGTTGGTGTGTCCTCTTGGATCTACTTTATGAATAATTCTTACCGCTCTTTTCTGTTATGTAATGGCTTCATGTTACTCATGTATGTGTTGCCCCACACCTCCGCACAATAGCTTAAGCATGGCAAAATAAGTGAACAGTACAGAATTCTAATGGCCTTGTGATCCAACACATATTTGGCTTTGTTCAAAACAAAAATATTCTTACATTCTTACATATTCTACATGAGATTTCCATGACAGTGTATCATCCATTATCACACATCAAGTATTTCCCGGGTAAGAAAAAAAGCCATCCTACTAATCAGCATGATACCGTTAGCATGTTAACATGTACATAAGCAACTACTGTATTGGATGTTGACATGCTTATGTGTAGCATGATGGAGCGTTCTCACTCTGCGTACAGAGATAGCATCCTGGTGCCCTCACCTTGCCCCAGCAGATGGCTTGTTTGATGGGCCTGGAAGAACATCATGTACCGCCTGCCTCAGGAACATCCTCCTCTGGGATTCAACTTCCCAGTTCCTCCAAGGTGACCTTATAGTCTTTTTGCCTGTAGCTACTTTTTACAATCACCTTGCTGTTTCTTGCCAACTCTGCTGGATTTCACCTCATGCTCTGCAGCCTACATCTCATGCTGTACCAGCTTCAAACCTCTTTTCCTTTCCCTGGGGTGTTGGAGTGCTCCCCAGATAGCTCTTCTCTGGGCTCTACCCTTTGCATTTGTGTTGCCACCTGATTTCTGCCTTTTACAGAGATTTTGTGCTTTCAGACACCTTTTATCATTCAACCTGAAAAGATTTAGGCTGATTGCACATCCAAGCACATTTAGTTCTCTGAGAATGAATCTTGGAATTCTTTCAAAAGCTTAATTTTGAAATGCTGACACTCATTTTGATACCAAACTCAAAAGGCAGAATGTGTTTTTACTCTCAAATTAGCTTCCAGATCTCTAGATGCAATGCCATTTTTATTTTTATTCCTCAATAAAACAGACCCATTATTTCTGAATATGAGCATTTATGAAATACTGAAAATGCTCGTTGATGTATGTTAATATGATCTCAAGCATCAGTTCAGGGAAGGACCCAAATGCAGAGTGGTAGGCAACAAAAGGCGAGCTTTAATGAACTGATAAAAACATCCAAAACAGGCAGGTAACTGAAAAGAAACAAGAACCTAAACTAAACTGAAAACCAACCAGGATAACACGATGAACGCAGGGAAGAAATTCAAAACACAAGAGACCAGGCAGGAAACAGAGCAGGGAATGACATCATGAACACAAGAATAAACACAGACAAACTGACAAGGAACAAAAGATAACACACAGACAACTAATCATAAGAACAAGACACAGCTGGATTAGGTGGACATGTAGGGGGAAATGACTCAAAATGACACAACCGGACCGAGACCTTCTTGAAGAGGTGGTCTTCAAACTCCGGTGCGGTTCATTTGTGGTGAGAATGTGTTCCGACCTCGATCTGAACCAACTACAGTCACATGACACATTGTTTGGGTTAAACATGAGCATGTTACAGTCCTGGAGGATTATTAATGTGCACCTCCTCCTGTACTGCCTTAATATTCACATTTAGCACATCCAATGCATCAAAACATTGTTTTCTAGTTGGAGCCGCGCCTCGTTTTCAAACTGTATGGTTTGACTAAAATGAACAATGACAGCAATATAGTCCACAATGAGCAGCGCTAAAATCAACCTGTGTAGTTGTCCCTCCATTGTGACATTAGAAAGTGTCACATTTATCTTGCAAGTGTACTCTTCTTCAACGTTCTTCAACACTGCCATGGTGACGACATTTGCAACATGATAATGCAACAAAACCTCACTATGAAAAATTAAATCTACAGTATATTGTAAAACATTTTAAGCTGTTCAAAGCCCTCAAAATGTTTGGGTCAACCTCATATATTACATGGTTATTTATAGCTTTTTTCATTTTGGGTAAAATCCTCTACAGCAAGAAGTTACCTGGGAGAATATGAAGGCAAGATCCTCAGAGTCGAAGTTTGTTTTTTATTTTCCATTCATTACAAATCATTATGTAGCATGCCAGACAAGTCACTTCTAATCCAGAACTTCATTAAGAACAATTACGCTAACCATTCAGCTCTGACACAGACATAATGGCCATTGATTGGCTAACTTGTTACACTTTGTGTGAGTGGACTCATCCCACCAGCCTCACCTCTGTCTCACCGAAACAATTAAAGGCCTTTTCAGAATCAGTGCATTCCCTTTGGCTTCGGTATCTGACCTCCTCATTTATCTCAGCGTCAGAAAAAGTTAAAGACTCACTGATCCCGAGGCACACAGAGGGCTATTAGGTCTTAATTATATTTTGAAGGGCTGGTTATGCTTGTAAAGTCTGTGACATGGGACTTGATATTGATTTATTTGATGATTTATAGAAAAGGCACTGACACACCAAGCCAATGGTTGGCTGTCGGGGAATGTTTGTCACCCTATAGTTAGTGCAATGTGTCCTGCACTGTTGCCCCTCATCAGCCCCTGTTGGCTTTTTCTTCGGCCTATTCAGCATGTTGAATCGGCGTTGGCAGAGCCTGTCCATGAATGAAATCACTTTGATTGGAAGTTCAGCTCAGTGCACAAGAAGAGAAAATATGCTTCAACATTGTATTGTGTTGTTACTGTGCTAACTGGCTAACTAGCATCGAGACGGTCTTCTGGTTTCCCTTTTTGAACGACGAACTACTGCCATCTGCTGGTGTGAAGAACTACTTCCTCTCAGGTAGACACAGAATATACTTATGCTGATTGAGCACTGGATGTAATCTTTGCGGCGTGTTCATGCGCATCATTCTGGCCGAGACACTGAAAACACAGTTGGCTTTCATTGCCACTAGTTCTCTGATGTAGGTTTGATGTGTCTTGGAAAGAGAAAATCTCTCACCTTTCAAAAATTCCTCTGCCTGTGTACATTATTATTCAAAACATTATTTGTGGTGTTATTTAAAGCATCAAGTGAAACTACACATTCATTCATTCATTTATATTATCCTGTTACATTGGGTGAGAGGCAGGGTACACCCTGGACAGGTCA